CACTGTTCCCAGCCACGGAGAGGGAGGTCACGGTCCCGTCTGCCCACGCGCTGGTCAGGCGTTGTCGGCGCGTGTGGGCTGCGGCTAGGAAGATCCTCTGCAGGAATTCACAACTGGTGAAAAGAGCAGCAGACCGAAAACGCCGACCAGCTCCTGTATACCAGCCAGGCCAAAAAGTCTGGCTTTCTACACGAGACCTTCCCCTCCACGTACTCTCCCGTAAATTGGCTCCCCGGTTTGTGGGTCCTTTTCCCGTCACCAAGGTCATCAACCCGGTTTCAGTGAGACTACGGCTTCCCAGGTCCATGAAGGTACATCCCACCTTCCATGTAGGGAAACTAAAACCCTTGAAGGAGAGCGCTATGGTTCCCACCGCCAAACCCCCCCCCGCCCCCCCCGGATGATTGATGGAGGTCCGGTTTACACCGTCAAGAAGATATTGGCTAGTCGGAAAAGGGGTAGAGGGCGACAGCTACTGGTTGACTGGAAGGGTTATGGTCCTGAGGAGCGGATATGGATTCCTTCCCGCTTCGTCATAGACAAAAGCCTCATTGAGGATTTTGACCGCCTCAACTCAGAGGAGCCTGGGCCGTCAGGAGCCGTCCCTAGAAGGTGGGGTACTGTCATGTCTAGGAAACGAATAGTGAAAGTGTATTCTTTATGTTAGTTTTGTCATGTCCCTTTGCCCTGTGCTTTATGTTTATTCCCTTAATTAATCATCCCTCTCATTTCAGGCCTCCACGCTCCCCGCCCCCTTCTGTCTCCTGCGTCCTTGATTGTTTTCCCCGCCCTGATTGTTTCCACCTGTGTCCCCTTTACCTGTGTATATATTGTGGTAGCTTCCTCCTGTTCATTGTCAGTTCGTTGTCTTACTATGACCCACGTTCCTGATTACCTCACGGACTTCCCACGGATCTACCTCATTGATCACTTGCTAGTTTTCCTCGAAAGAGTATATTTGTTTTCCTTGTTTTGATTACTGTGCTAAATTCCAGTAAAGTCTTTATTTTTTGAGAACACTATCTGAGTCGTGCAATTGAGTTCATGCCTCAGAGTCTCTCCTTGACAATATGGCTGTTAGTAAAACTGCTTACAGTGGAGAACTTAGAAGATATGGGCATGGTCACTTAATACAATCAAAGGGATTGATGTATCAGTAATGTCTATAACTGAGTTACTAGTGAGGGAAAAGTCAATGCTGGAGAATGTGTGAAATGGCAGTGAAAAGTATGAATATTCATTCACTGTTGCATTATTTATACACCAACTGCTACATCCTAACTCCTCCATTTATTGTCTCAGTGATTGCCATTTCCTGCCACTTGTTGTTGATTGGTCTATTGTTGGTGTTATATTATCCCTTCCAATATTGGTTTAAGAATATGTGAAACCATTTAAGGCAAATACGTGAGAAAAATTTGATATAAATATTAGCAATTATAAAATCTGTTGTTATTTTCTGTAATGATGAGGAACCTTCTGGGTCAGTAATGTTTGATATGAGTTAATGGGACCTTCTTGTGAATTAGTATGGAAAGTCCTATTTGCAATATTTGCAGTGAGCAAAGACAATTGATGACTGTAATGTTGATGCTTATGAATTTAGGTTAGGGAATGATTGAAGGTTTTTCAGATAATGCGTCCTTGTAAAGCACAAGGACCGAGTGTGGGTGAATTAATATGTGCTTGAGTGTTGCTTCAGTTTTTTTGTTTCAATTAAGTTAAAATTATTAATAAAAACAATTTAAAAACAAAACAAATACCTACTGTCTTATGATGTTCTTATGTTAAGATGATGCCAACCACTGCCATGTACATGTGTTGGTGCAGAGAATGTAAAAGTAGCATGTAAATCCCTGATGCTGTCCCGCAGTTTAATTGATCTAGATAGTAACTTTGATCCCAGCCAAAATGTACAAATTATAGAGAAAAAAATGAGATGGGATATTGGTTGGGCCCCATTATGGGGGAAAAAGTGTGGGCCTCACAAGTATAGAACACGAGTATGTGTGTGTGGCACTTCAAATACATACATATAAAAAAGCATCTGTAGATCTGTATTATAAATGCACAGACATGAGACACCAGTTGTTGCTTTTGCTGCATCTGTGATAATGTAAAATTAAAAAGCCTTGTTTCAGTATATATCATTTTCTTTGTTAACATTAAATCACATAACTGCGGGAAGTATGTACTTGTCGTGTTGGAATTCGATGTTGTATTGTTCATTAAAATCAAATCGACCAAAGACCATTAGACAGTCCCTTGTAACAAGATTAAAGAGTAAGCAACCATTGATTTACCAAAGGTTAAGAGAATGTTTTTTTACACAATAAGATATAATGAGTTTGCAACCCATGCCTTAATCGAATCAGTATGTCATTGCTTCAAACTTGTCAAATGCTTTGTGAATTACATTTTTCGAGCTCTTATAGTCCTTTTTCCACAACACAACCTGGTAAATTGAGATATATGTTCTGAATACTTTGTCAGAGTTTTTGATTTTACAATATTCTAGGCATCAGTGACATTACACTCAACCTGCTTAATGACTCCATAATTGAAAATGGAATGATTCGATGGTGTATAGAAATGCCATCTTTTGCAGTGGCTGTTGTCTATCACATGGCTACTGCAAGCTTCAAAATCAGTTAAGAGGATGAGAGACCTTTGCTCTCTTTGTTCACCCATGTCACAAACCCATCAGATTTGACCGGAAAGAATGAGGCAGAACCCATCCTTCGTTCTTAAAAGCATTGGGAGTTATCACTTGGATGCCTCTCGTCTTACAGGGAGAAAAACATGCATCACAATAATGCCCTGAGCATGTTACGTGAAATGAACAGGTGCACAAGGACGAGGAGCAACTCTTTGTCCGGTATGCTGTCAAAAGGGTCTAGGGGCGTTGGCATTACAAAGGGAAAATGATGTCACCATTATGGCTCTTCCTGCTCTATTTATATATTCCTTGCATTTAATCAAAACTGTATATTATTCTGAGCTGATATTGTTATTGGAATATCTTCATTTTTATGTAGAAAAACAGTGAGCCATTGAACTGTGATGAGCTATTTTTCTATAACCGTTTTGAACACAAGAACGCTATTAGCCACTGCGCTAATGCCTGAAAAGCGCAATTATTGGCTAGACATAAACCTTTATGTAACAAAGCTTTACAGTTACTGGTCTAAGCCATAATGCTTCATGTCGGTTATTACTGATGATGTTGTAATGATGATGAGAGATTTCTGCCTTCATCTACCTTCAGAATAATTAATACACTTTTTTTAAACAGTTCTGTTGGCCAGTGCAGTTGCCCAGCAGTACATGGGGGCCTGTAGCATATGTTTGATCTTTGAAGCAAATATATAATGTAGGTATACGCTGATCCAACTTAAAGGGCATTGAAAGGCAATTTCATGGCCTCTTAGGGCTGAGTATCCTACACTTTTGAATAGTTAAATGCATTAGATAGCAATGTGGGTTGGTCTATCCACCATTTTTGGATCCAAATCAGGTTTATTGCCAAGTTGGTTTACACATACAAGTAATTTGTTCTATTACCATTCACTTTTTTGGGGATGATTCCGAGACTTCTATCCTCTAGCGCCAACAGCAGGTTGACCTTTGTCTTTCAGAGATAAATACTGGACAGATTATCTTGCCATTTGGATATTCAAGGTATTTGAATATCACTCGTGATCCCCTGATATTTGATCAACCACCTTCATCAGGTCGATGGTTTATTGGTGTACGACAAATTCATGAACAGCTGGTATTTTAAAATGTACATAAAGTACAACCCGTAGCATGAATTGTAAAAGGACTTGAGATGTACTAAGTACATTTCTATAGCTCAATGTTCAGATCTTTGCTGACTTGACACTTGCTTTGAAATAATATAATTAATCTCTTGAGTGGCTTATTGTCATACTGATATTCTGTACAAACTGTGAAGTCCACTGAGACAAATGTAACATTTGTGATATTGGGCTATATAAATAAACATTGATTGATTGATTAATGTTTCTGCTACCCTTTGTTATTTGGCGCTAGAATTTGGAAATTACCATGATATTAGTTACTCAATGTTCTGTCCACCCCTGACTTTAACCTTGAATAATACAGTTTGCAGTGTTAAGAAAATATATGCATCGTTTTCCATTTGAACAATTTTGTTATAGAGAAGAAGGCTTTTTCCTGCCATTTGTATACCCCCAGTGAATAAAAAACCTGTGCTGTCTTAAAATTCCTTGAGCGCAGAAACTGGGGGCAGTGAGGAGTAAAAAGCATATATGTGAGAGAGGACTACATTATGAAGGAATGACTCAAGACTTGGTCCTGGCGACCGATTGTGAAGGAAGCCTTGAAAAAATTGCTTAACCACTCATGTTACATTACTGTAGTTCACGCATTATTAAATAATATGGTATCTGTGCAACAATGATTAAGTCAATTAAGCTTATATGCTAATGATCAAACACAGCAGAAGTGCGCAGAGCGTGAACATCTCGCATAGAAAGAGTTTCCCTTTCTCTGAATGCTTTCAACCGTGGATCATTGTCCATTAAAACTATTATATTCTCCCTTTAAAAAAAGACACATAGACAGTTCAAAATTAACATCACAAGAGCTCATCAATGCTTTAAAGATATGTTCTGTGTGGAGCTAAGTGCATGCTGTGTATTTCTGGCACATGTTTCTCATTGAAGTAGAGAACACAGGTCCTGGGACCTCCTACTTCAAGCTCTGGAATGCTTCCCTCTCAACATTCTGGGGTTTCCTGACTTAGAAATTAGGTGTTGGGCCCCACATGACCGGAATACTAGTTCTTCCTAATGAGCCTGGGTCCTAGAGTGAGAGACATTTTACACAATGTAGCTCCGAGGCAGCAAAAGCTCTTGTAAAAATGCAACAGCCAAGTCCTTGTTTAACAGTCAAAAGCGATGAATAATAACAGGAAAACAGGGAAAACACTGACAGCATTCATTTTTTCCCTGAAGTGATTTTATTACAAAGTTCATGAGGACTTACAGTATTACAAGAAAATTTGTCAACATGCGAAAACAGAACGAAGCAGAACACAGGAGTTTAACAAACTGGTAAGATAAGACGATCCACTGTTCACGATAAACATAAAAACTGATTAAGTCCTCAGGAGGTGGGAGCCGGTGAATGACTACAGTGCAGGCATAGAACGGCCACATTCACACTGACTCAGCAAAGGTCAATCAAACCAAGGCAAGATTTGCACATCTCAGGAAAACATGTTACAATTTTTATATGCCATCGGCTTTTCTCAGAACTTCTAGAAAGCTTCACTTGTATGTACATAAAACTGTACAAAAACATGGCATCACAAGCATTTTATCCTATATAAATATACCAACAATTAGGATAACAACTAGATTCTCTTTTGCAAAGACATATTTTCAAGGCAATTGTCTTGTGTGAAAAAAGATGAAATGTTCAGTTAATTTCAGTTCGTTTGGGAGAGGGCCTTTTGAATATGAACCAGCACTGACATTTCAGAAAGGAAAAAGAAAAAGAGTAAACAGTTTCTACCAATTATCTTTGGAATTCATGCTAAAATCGCTGTCTGTTCAACAGCAGACGCATGGTGGTGGAGATCTATGTACACTATACCACCAAAATATGTCATTATTTTTTTCACACAACCAGTTTTCCTAAGAGTCTTTGATCAGTAAGAAAACAAAATTCCATCTTGCCAATTTCAGTTCAGTAATTTCTCCATCTTTCTAAAGAAATGATCACCATACGATACACACCACAGAGAGGCAACATATACTCAAGTGAACATTAAATCAATGTTAGGTACAAATTAAACATTATTCAGTGTATTTAGGTGCTTCATGATGTCCTCCTACTTTAATCAAGAGGAACTGTCTGTGTTTGCGAGAGAGGGAAACACAGTTCATTCAGCATGAGTTCAAAAGAAAGGTCAAACCTGGTGATATATCATTCCAGGGGTGAGTAGCAGGAGGTCATTACCGAGAGAGAGAGAATCCAACTCATTAAGCCAGGGCTTGTTTTTTATTTTGCAGAGCACCTAAATCAAACTCCCGTCATTCCGTTCAGAGCAACAACCGCTGATTACGACTTATCTGCTAAAAGCCACGCCATTTATTTCATGTATTAGCGATCAAAGAGGCAAATCTGAAGATACCAGATTCCCAAAAGCGATAAGTGTACTTTGGCTGGAATCAGGTTAACCCCGGAGATAAATCTGGATATGAAGCATAATAGGAATTGAGTCAACGCATTTAAATAGACATAGTTGTGATGGAGGCTATGTGACATTGGTTTTATCACTCACTGCTATCTTTCTCACTTATCATCAATTCCAGGTCAGCGATCTTACCCACTGCTTTGAGTTTGTGAAGCGGCTATCCGCAGCTCCGAGAGGGGTGCTGGGGGCAGCCGTGGGGGTTTAATCACAGTGTATCATGGCTGTTGTTTGAATTTTATTTCAGTTGCTAAATGGCTTTGAAAACGGCATAATGTGCTTTCTCCCCCTCAAGGCAGGATAATCGCCCACCTTATTTAATCATGGCCATGTCCAGTAATTTCCATATGTTTCCAGTTTAATTATTCTAAACGCAGCTTTCAATGGCAGTGTGATGAGGTAAGTGCTGATAAAAATACCCCTTTTAACTGATTGTAGCTCTGCGGGTGGATTTGCATTATCTGGTGGGTGCCTTGTCCTGGGGGTGTGCTCACGCATGCCCTAGCTCAGGACTCATTACTCACCCTAATTAGGAAATGTCCATTCAAGGCTCTTCCACCCTTACTCAGAGACACAATCTCACGATGGAAATACTCTGCAGAGGTGAAAGGTATCTACAAATCTAATCAAATCAATGTTTAAATCAAAGACACCGGCCGGCCCTACAATGCTGTAAGACAGGCTAGTGTTGTCATCATTAACATCCAATTACTGACTAATACACAGTGTCCTTCAGACATATCCTTCACATTAACTTGCAAAATCTTTGTAGAGATAAATGAAGCCCACGGGCATGCCCTATATTTTATTCTCTGTTCAATAGCCAGAGGAGGAAAAAATGCCTAATAATTGATTAAGCATGTTGTCCTCAATAGAGGGGAACTCATAATTAACAGGAGTTGGAGTAATTCCAGTTTGACTGTATTCTCTGTTTAAGCTCAACAATATTCTGCGTTTGCTATCAAATATTTGTTTCCCTCATTTTAGTAACAATAACTTCAAAGATGTATTTTCATTCAATATCCTTTTATTCCCTCATTTCATTGTGTGCTCTGTATTGTTTCCACCTTTGAAGAAGTACATATCTATTGACAACTGATACTCTAAAAAACAAAGAAAGTATTCTCAACATCAAGCACTCGTGTAGTGATATTAGCTTCCATAAGTGCTCAATGTTTTGCAGTGTTTCTCTAAGCTCAAGTGCCTTTTTATGTGAATACCTCGTTATGCATTCAATAGATCTAGAGAAGTTCTTATGGATCTTAAGGGGTAAAGGACTATGAGCGTAAAGGGGGGACGGGATTGCGAGATCTCGTCTGATTGTCACGACAGAGATGAGCTTTTCGGGCTGAAACATTTTCATCAACAGAGTGCGTCACATGGTTTAATATGAAAAGCCAATCAGAATATGTCCAGTGAGTACTCTGCGGTCATTTTGACTCCGGGGTACTGTGGCCTAGTCAACCGTTTTCATGATGAACGATAGGTCACAGTGCCGAGAGTCAGTGGAACATAATGTCAGTTTAAATGTTGCCACACAGTTTTCTTCACCAGTGGCAGAGCTCTGTAGGGAGCAGAGGTAAAGGCCATTCAACTATGATTAGGGGTCTGAAATGTGTGTGTGTGTGTGTGTGTGTGTGTGTGTGTGTGTGTGTGTGTGTGTGTGTGTGATTTTGTGGAGCGGATAAATGCCCACCACAATATTGAGCTCCACTTCAGGAGATGGTTTCAATCAAGTTTAAACAGCAGCAGCAAAGAAAAGCTTAAATATGCAAAAAATTCTGAGGCAATTTCTTTTTTCAGCGTATGCCGGACAAAAATATATGTAGAACACACCATTCAAATGTATTTACAGCACTGTACATTAATATAGACCGTTTCATTTGATGTTAGTCAAAAGTGTAATGCCTTCTGATAGGGCCTGACTGTCTGTCTATTGAATAATATCTAATAATGGCACAAGAGCACTGACCACAACTTTCAAATTCAAGAGATCACTTCACAGAATGGTACTTGGCTAACTACAACAATAATTAGTTACTACTAAAGTAGCATATGCCATCTGCACTTCCTTTTGATTTGTTAGAATCGAATCCATCCGGATTTTGTATAAATTAATGAGTGAGTGCATCAACTTTGTGGAATTCTTAATAAATATGCTAATAAATTAATAATTTAAGGAGGAAATGACAGAAAACAAGTGTTCATGCCAGTGATTGAATGCGTCACAGCCTATTGTTACCTACAAAACGGGCATTGGCTTTAGCATGTGTACAGCCTGTTTCTCCTTCTGACGTGGGTGTAGCTTTTTCCTCATTTGTGCACCAATCGGATGACGGCATTCCTCACAGGTAAATTTCCCTTTTTGGAGTGTGGGCCGAGGGGGGGGTGGGCGGGAACTCAGAGGCCACGCTCAGGGGCATCTCCTCTAAGGGGCAGTCCTGACTGGCGTCGTTACCGCTGTTGGAGTAGGCACTGCGGGAGGGCGGGAGGCGCGACCGGGGCTCCTCCCCCCCCAGCCTGGCGCTCCCGTTGGCCAGGCGTCCCAGGCTCCCTCTCTCCTGGTAAGGCACGAAGGTGGAGAGTTTCGGGGGGTTCCTGGCCTTGCGAACGGGGGAGGGATGCCCGGGCATCCAGCAGGCGTCTGAGTGGCCCAGCTCGCTGCACTCGTTTGTACAGTTTCCGGTCATCGCCACATCAGGGAGCGAGCGGATATCTGTGGGCGGAAGAGAGGAAAACTATAAGAGACAGCTTCACAGTGGTACAAAAAAGTTGTAAAAAGGCATTTGTGAACAGAAATGGTGTCATCTGAAACACCCCATGAAGCCCACCATACCCACTCCTCTGTGTCTTTGCAGCTGTTGCTAAGCAGTCAGCAGCAGTTGCTATGTAGCTGTTGCTATGCACTGTGTAATGAGCACCTCGGTGTGTGTGTATTCCACTAGCTGATGTGATGCATTCAGGAGATGGGGTGCTGTGTCTCAGTCATTTAGAAGTGTCCAACAGCAGTTTGTCTGAAATGTTTGGAAAATATCACTGCATTGTTAACGAGTTCAATAAAGCGACCATTGACTTCTATCACATGATATGCGTGGACTTTAAATGGTGCTCCATGTACATGTCCACATAAAAAGACAACAATAAAAAGATAACATACCACGGAAATACCGACACACATACTGTAAAGAGGCAGCGTTTGGCTACAATAGCTGGAGGCGAAAGCATTGAATGAGGTATTGATTGACAGTGCTAAAATGAGTTCCCTGCCCTTGATTTCTATCCATTTTTTATTCAACTGCTCCTAATTAAATAAATGGGTCTATGACCTAGTGACCTGATTTAAATGTACAAGCTGTAAAAGCTCCAAAAAAAGTTTGCCTCATACATCACTCCAGAGTATAACACGCTTTCTGAACTCACTGTAGAGCTGCCATGAAGAAGAACCCATGTACTTGTTTACCAGAAATGTGCAGCTGGCACCTAATATACTTGTTAAGCAGCCCACCTGTTGACAAGCTAAACACACAGAGCCCAGATTTAATGGAAATACCGCTCAATTTGTCTTTGTTATGCCGTCAGACTCAGACTAGGACAGCCCAATCGATGTCTCTGAAGAAAAAGAGCAGACAACAAAGATCTGTGAGAGTGCGAAGTCACCCTCCATGTAAACGTTTGATTGCCGTAATAAATGCATTACTGTAATGCCTTGGCGCTGTCCACACCATGAAAGCACCCGTCCATCACAGGACATCTTGTTTTGTGGATCCAGCACAGTGTGTAAAAGAGAGTCAATGCATCTGTGGATAATGTGGAGGGTGCTTCACACAAAGAGAAGATGTTGCTGCATGAGAATGATGCAACCACAAGAGATGACCTATTAGAGGCAGGAGTGAGGGTTCGCAGCTAATAGAGCAAATGCCATCTTCGCAGTGTGCCTTTGAGACGTTCCATCAGTTTTGTACTCATGACCAGTGGCTATAGATAATTATCTCCACAAATGTCAGACCTCTAAGGCCCGAGAAAAACAGCATCCGGCCCACCGAGGCTTCAATCAATCAGATCCCAGACAGAACCAGCTTTGGTAATGGCAAGGCATGCTTTAATATTTTAAAATGCTTAATGAAAAGTGGTGGAGTGTATTTGTTCTCATTTCGTTTTCCTTATGTGTGTCTAAAGATTCATTTCTCATGGTTAATCCATATACAATTCCATTGTTTATAATGAATGCATAGCGCAATCTATTGTTGCCGTTAATCTCATTGTTCCAATAATCCTAAATTGCTAGATGTTCAGGCTGTTTAATACGTTTACTTTACAATTGAGCAACGTTCTGCCTTATCCATGCTTAATTATATTATTGTGCTTAAGTGGCAAATTCTTCTCCCTGTTTACAAGGCCAATGTCAATGATTCTTTGCAAATGAATGAGCAGCACTATGCCTGATTAACAAAGAAGAAGACTGAATGTGGTGCTCCAAGAAAAGGACAAGGCGAGAGCGTGCCTGTGTGCATCATGCATGATGATTGGGAGTTTCATTTTTCTGAGCGCCGCTAAGAGCGTTGTCTGTATGCATCACTGCTGCGAAATGGACTCTTGATACAAAAGATGTTCATGGGAAGAGAGTTTGGGGAGAGGGTTGAGGAGTACGCTTCTAAGCACAAGCACAGTCGTATAGGCATCTACTCCGAAAGGATTTCACACTTGATTAAAACCTCTCCACAGCTTCCAGGAGGTTTATGCCACACCAAGCGGCCTTGTGTATAAAAGTCTGCAGAGCTGCACAACCGAAAAATCTGTTTGTGGAGCGAAAAAAGGTACATTTACACCGGACTTCTAAAACACCTCACAATGGGCAATGTTTCTTCTTAATGAATTTGACTTTATATTTACATGTACAAATCCTTAACTTAATCATACATGCACATAGAACTTACATTTTTACTGATTGCCACATCTTTACTGATTGTCAGGTTGCTAGGTTCAGAAAATATAATTTGCTCTTAATGATGTAAAACACCAGCTAAAAGAAAACATGTAAGGGGAAAATGATGCCATGCACCGGTGACAGGAATTAAAGCGCATTATGAAGCACGTTCATCATCATCCAGGGCCAGAAAATCAGCAATGACAGCTAAAGCCTGCCAAAGTCTGCCATTGTCTTCCAACAGTGCCAAAGCACACATCGCACGCCATCGACAGAGAACATATATGCTCCAACGCCAGCTATTTTAGTAGGCCATTCGTTACCTTGTCTGTTGGTGTTTCATCAAAATTATATGTGGTTTTATTTATAAAGTATGACATCATTGTCTGTTTTCCATACACATAGATGCAATGGGAGGCCTATATTTAACAGGAAGCTGTCAGGTTGGAGTGACTGTGTTTCTGCATGCTGCCACTAGCCTTCCATAATGCGTGTTATTTCCCTTCAACATGTAGTAATAATAATAAACCGAGTACAGTACTTATGTGTTATGATGGGGTGTATCATTTGTGAAAGCACACATTTTTACACTTGCTCGTGCTGACCTTTCTCTCGCACTCAAATCTATCTCTACAAAAATCAATACGGATAATTATACTTTTGTGTCTGCCTTCCGCTGTGGCCACACTAGCCATCTGTAAGCGGCTCACAGCGTGGCAGAATTCCATCTGCTCCACACATCTAAAAACACACTCCCACACTCGACCATTGTCTGAATATTTTAGTGGACGCGATGAAATGAGATGAGTCAACCATTAGGGCGACCAGAGCAGCCAAAGGGGGTGAGAAACTACACATTTCCCCGTCCACTCAGGCCTGTCTCCTTCCGTAGGTGTTTCTGCAGTCTAGAACAAACCCCTCTCCAGTCTTGTATGTCATGTATGGACTGTAAGGTGGACATTGGTGGGCAAAGCACAGCACTGGTATGCCAGTGCAACAGGCTGACTGGATTTAGAGAGCTTTTGATTTGGTTTTTGAAGAGCGGTGACTCAATGACATTTCTGACTCCCCGCACAGCAGAGTTCCTTTCCTCTAGACTAGGAGATAGATTGCACCTGTAGAGCTCTTTTATATTTGGTTAGCCCCATCTGCTTGCTTAAAGCATGAACACAATGAAATGTCCACTTCCAACCTTCACTACCACACTCACAGTTAACCTTAGCACACATCTTTCTTAAAAGCACCTCCACTGCAGTAGCATAACATGCACAGTGCAGTTCCAGAGTAAGGGTACACACATAGCTTAACCCACCCCTCCCTTTCCCTAGGCTGACAGATACATGTGAGGGGTGGGTTTGCATGCGGCTTGCATCAGGGTGCCAGTGGGAGGTGTTGAGTGTCTGAGGCAGGCTTCCACATCGTCTGATCCCCTGCCCACGGGCATGGGGGAAGCTGCCTCTTCCTGAGATTTCACACCGCTCCTCTCTGTTTGATTGCAAATGCTGCCTCTCCCCACCGGCTGCTATCCAGCGTGTGCGCCACACCGCTATGATCGATGGCGAACAAATATGAGAGGCCCACAGCTCATGGAGGGATAACGGGGGAAAACAGCTACTATTGTGTGCGCGAGTGTTATTAATGGTATATTTGTGGTCCCTGCAAACAGTTTACAGTGGTAAATGACTAAGATTCAGGGAAGAAAAAAGAAGAAACATCCCACATTGGAGCAGACATTAGTTTCTGGTGCGGGCTATCAGTGTAATAACTGGGTGTGAAGGCATTCTGTGCTTGTCATACTTCGTGAAGAAAAACAACAAGATACCAGGGTTTTGTTTTTCTTTAGCTGTGACATGTCAAGTCTTGTTATTCAAGTGTTCACAACAGTTTTTCGCAGTAAGCAGAAGCTACCAAAAAACAGTCTTTTTTAAATGTATTTTTCTCCAGAGGGGAGCATTTTGAACAGGAGGGGAAAGTTGCTACAAGCAAGCAACCATAGTGTTGACGCGCACATTTTCCTTGCTCATTGTAATGGAATACAAAAGAACAATGGTGGAACTTGTACCAGACGTGCACTTTTGCAACAATTTGAATGTGTAGTCTTGAAGGCTTTGTCACCTTGCCTGAACAGAAAGTAAAAATAGGCTGGAGCTAACCATTTAAGTCACAATACTGTGCTGATTTCCTGTAGATAATTGCTGTGCATTCATTTTTTACAGCATGCAGTTTACTTACCTGCATTGTTGGAAAAGTTTTATTTTCTAACTATTTTTAAAACAAGCCAATGCATCCCTTTATGCAGCCATGGAGGGCATTCGTTCCATTCTGTTTCGTCTCTAAAGCTCTGTTTGCACTGAAACCTGAGGGGGACCTCTAGTCATTTGTGATGATTGCAGTTGTCGCAAATTACCTCATAATTCACCAAACATGGAGGTCATGTGATAAAAGTAGTCCTTTGCTTTCGGAATATGAGATTTGGGATTGATTTTGGGATTTTTTGCTACGTTATTTGTTTTCTGAAAGGGAAAATAAGCACATTTTGGGAAGATCACTATCAGTAGTGTAAAGTAAATGAGTACACTCTTAGTTTATTGAGTTCACTAAAGTACTGTACTTAAATACAATGTTTATGTATCTCCATTTTCTGCACTCCACTACAATTAAAAGGTAAATCATCTACTTGTTCTCCATTAAATGCATTTAATACCTCAGTTACTTTGCAGTTATGGATTTATGATACAACATATAACCAACACTTACTTAAGATATTAGTTACACTAAAGTCATTAAAATCA